TACCACCTTGCTTCATTACCCATTTACTTACTGATTGTGTCATTCTCCCCCAACTAAAATATAAGTTGTATGTCAGCAGGGATTCATCTCTGGTTCATCCCCTGCTGAATCCCTGATACCCAGAGAAATGTCCGACTCATAGTCCTTGCTCAATAGTGATGGGATGGATGAATGAATAAGTAAAAAGCACAGTGCTAGACCTGAAGTGTTTGGTGGCAATGGCCATGCCCTTACTAATTCCTGTTGGGAGAAAAGCCATTACCAAGCCACCATCAGAGTCAGCATGGCTGTTCTCAGGGCCTGATGCCCGCAAGGCCAAAGCTCCTGTTGCACTCTCCTGCCCACTGTTGACAAATGGGAGACCCGACCCTTGCCTGTGCTGGGAACAAGTGAGTCACATGCAAAGACAAAGTGAATGGAAGAGAAATGGCAGAAAGATTTCCAGAACTAGAGAGCTCCATTGAAACCGGAAGCAGCGGAAACCCTTCTCATGGAAACCAATCAGGACATCAAAGAGCGCTTTGGGGCCCACAGCTGCAGAGACATTTTCGGCAGCCTCTGCTTCAAAGGCTGGGATGGATGGCAGAGAGAAACAGTTTTCTCTGACTAGAACTGAGGTCTTAAAGTCTCAGCCAAAGAAGGTTTGGAAAATGAAAGAAAGAGCAGCAAGTCTGACCTGCTTTATCAATCTGTGCGTTTTCGATGGCTGTGATGACGCTTACATCTTTCATCTTCAAAGCGCCTTACTCCGTGAATTCACATACAAACAGGACTCAGCTGTGTGTGGCGGATCACAAGGCATGTGTCACTGGGATGGAAAAGACTCCGCTGCCCAACCGCCTGCCAACTTGACGCGTTCTAAAAGGAAAGTCTGGTATCAAAACATAAATCTAAACAGAAACAAAAATAGCAAATAGCAACATGCATTAATCAGACCCATCTATTTGTACCAAAACCCACATTCCCTCAACTCCCTGGCCCCAGGGTATTGTTCTTTGATGTTATTGTTCTTTTTTTTTTTTTTCATTTTCATTTTTCAATGCACCCTTCCAAGATTCTCACAGTGTACTTCAGAGTCCAGACTCTCTTATGGAAACCATATGTCTTCGGGAACATACCGTACCACTTGAAGCTCTGGAGCCGGCTTTATTTCTGCGCCAGGATTAAGTGAGAAACAACAATTGTTTGTAATGCTGGAAGGCACTTTGGGTTAGTTACTCAGCCAGGAGGAACCCACGTAAAGCAGTGAGAGTTTCTGAAAGACCTATAAGAAAAGAAAGGCATCTCCAACTAACCTGTGGCTCTCACGTAGTCATTCATTCATTTTATTTATGCAACATTTGTTGAAAGTTGACCATGAACTAGGTCTATGCTTAGAGCCCAAAATACCAAGGTAAATAGAATCGGTCCCTAGCCTCCAGGAGCTTACAGTCTAGGAGAGGAGACAGGCAGATATATCAAGGTAGCAGCCCAGTCTGACAAGGCCCAGGCAGAGGTATCTGTCAGATTCAGGTCACGGGGCAGGAGCTGAAAGGTGGTTAGGGAGAGGATGCTTTTTCAAGAGAATAAGGGGGGAGGAGGTAAAGAAAGGGAGGCGAGGGTACTTTACACAGTGGAAACTGTATATATTACGTAAACTACAGGGTGCAGATGATATTCAAACTACTTAATAACTGGAATGTCATGGGCATAGACAGAGGCCAAACCCACTGGTGTGGTCCCAATGCCTGTGGGCTGCAGATCTTTCCTACTAACAGAGAGAAATCTCAGGGCAATAGTTGAGTAAAAAAGGCAAAGTAAAATGTCGAGTGTTAGAAGTCAAGATGTGAGTTACTCTTGGGGAGGGAACGACAGGAGGGGAACCATGAGAGGGCCGCGGGGTCCTGGCTTTCTGTTTCTTGATCTGGGTACTGATGACACAGGTTTGTTTACTTTGTGGAAATAAATGGACTTGAGCACATGTGATAAATGCTCTTTTCAGTGCAAATGTTCAGTAAAGTGTCACATGTTTAACACAATGTTCCAAAAGAGGCAAATAAACAAATATGCCTTTAGGCGTGTCTCAAATCATTGTGAATGGCTCCAGCAAATAGAGTGTGTGGCAGAGATAAAAATAGAGACATAAATCAAAGCTACGTTATAAAAGCCTTATATACTGAATGAAGGAGTTTGAACTTTATCCTCAGAATCATGAGACTCTTTGGAGAGAAAGTGCACGTGTATTAGAGCTGAGGGGTGTTAAAAGTATGGCCTCCAGGCTTTGGCCTCTGGTTCCATGATTTAGTCATTGTATATAAACCTCAATCTCTTCATCTGCAAAATGCACTAATTTTGTTTGCCTCCTAAGAATGTTTTGAGAATTGAGTACAATGATACACAAAAATATTTAGCATAGTGCTCGCTGTATTCAGTAATAAATATTTGCATTTTAGAAAACTTCCTTAGGCAGGAATGAGGAGACTGGATGAGAAATGGCCAGAGCAGGGACAGGGAGACGAATTAGAAGGCTGTGGCAATAATCCGCTAAAGAAGGAAGGAAAGCCTGACCAGAATAGCGGCAGAAGAAATCAAGCAGAGATCATGACATTTAAGGGGGTAGAGTTGAAACGACTTGATCTGGGAGATGAAAGAGACAGCAAAGTTTCCTATGACACTCAGGTGTCTGGCTTAGGTGCCTGTGAAGGTGTTGATGCTGTTAGAAAGTCAAGAGGAGGAATAGGCTTGGGGAAGACCTGCATCAAATGTGAAGCCTGCTGATATTAGGGATCTTAGGAGGTATCCAAGTGGGGATGTCCACAGGAACTCAATAGAGATGTCTGTGCTAAAGACATAGACCTGGGAAGTACATAAAAGATTGTTGAAGGCATGTGAATAGATGAGGTCCTTCAGGAATAATGCACTGATTGAAAAGAGCAAGGGCCAGAGCTGGAACCCTAAGTAACATCAACATTTAAAGGGGCAGACCAAAAAGAGGAACCTATGAAGAAATGTGAGAAGAAACAGAAAGGAAGAAGGGCAACCAAGAGAGTGCTATTGTGGTCGCCAAGAAGGATGTCATCAACTGTGACAAATGCCACAGAAGTGACCAGTTAAATGAAGACAAAAAAGTGTCCATTGACTCCTACATATGATGGCCATTGGAGACTTCAGTGAGAGCAGTTCCGGGGGAACAGTGGGACAAAAGCAGGATTGTCGTGGGCGTATGGTAGTGGATTAGAAGAAAGCAGTCAATACGTGCAGTCAAGGGGAAGGACAGCTACAGGGCAGGCGGGAAGCCAGCAGTGAGTAAGGAGTGAGAATCTTTCTCGAAAGATCAGCGAGTTTCCTAACTTGTTTCAGTATTCACCACCATCCATTTTGAAAAAGTTTAGAAACCTCTCTCTCTCTCTCTCTCTCTCTCTCTCTCTCTCTCTCTCT